GAAAATAAAGTATTCCACAGTATATGTGTAAATGTTTGCAAAGTGGAAGTATCTTTCACTACTTCGATACTGCTTGCATTAAACCACACCATGGTTGAATAAAACAATGCTATGATTTGTGTTTTACTGAATAGTTGATAATCAATTTAATTTCATAGCGTTACCTTGGTTTGCGCAATACTCATCAAATCAAAATTTGCATTCTTTTTAACAGGACCGGTTGCACCAGGATCGTCATACCCACTGTGTTCGTTGACAGGCAATAATATGTTTGAAGACGAGTTGGCAACTATCGCGTGCCGGTCTTTAGGGGGTGAACCTATAGCTAACATAGAGTGGAGCAAAGATGGTGAAAAGTTTGAGCCAACACACACGTCCTTGTTTATGAACGAAATTGTGTCATACATAAGTCTGAATCTAACAGAGGATCTTCTCGGTGCTGTGTTCATATGCACCTCGAGTCACGTGTTGTATGAAGAGCCAAAGACTTGCCAAGTCGGACCATTAGAATTTGAATGTAAGTTCCAGTTTACATTTCCCGGACAATGCCTTATATGTTACTTACTTGAGAATTGTGCCCGGAGACAAAATGGCGTCTGGACGTTTCGAATACTGAAATTAAAGCGGGGGAGTCGCCATCTGCGCATGTGTCAGATGACCATAGCGTGTCATCGTTTACAAACAAGCGTCTACCCATTAGCCTTTGCGTTTTTAGTGTGTGTTGTTATCGTCGCCTGGGACTCAATTCCCGCGCGTACGCAGGTGACGACCCTCCCGCTTTAAAATGAAATTATATGTCCAAATAATAAACGTTTCCAGACAGCAACATATGTAAGAGGTGATCTTTAATGTTTTACAAAATGGATCGCATTCTACAAATGGTTTCTTAGTACCTAAACCGTTGTGTAACCAAGTGCCAAGTAATTTCATGGCCGAAATATTTTGTATACATTATATAGTATATATTTTATAGTCATGTTATATTCTAACATTATATATGTTTTTGATACTTTGCAGTGAAACAATTTATTGTGGAGATCGAACCAGCTGTACTGAATGCACGCCCAGGTGACGAAGGAATGTTTGAGTGCATTGTTGACAGCCATTATCCCGTCTTAGACTACGTTTGGCGATTCGAAGGCGAGGAGATCAACGAAACCGATAATCGATTTAAATTTGATAAAAACAATACTATACTGCACGTACTGAACATAACCAAAGATATGGACGAATCGGAGGTTACGTGTGAAGTAACGAATACACATGAAAATGAATCCGCGTCTGCAATAATCAGATTTGGCGGTGAGTGATCGTGTTTTCTCATCTAATCACACTCAAAATCTGCGTCATGTGATATTTTTTTCAATTTTAGCATAAACTGTTCTCCTTCTAAAAGTTTAATATATGTTATATTGCAGGACACCATAGAGGATTGGACGCTCTTTCAGTCGCAATAATCGCTGCCATAATGACCTTTGTATTTATAATGATCATTCTTGTCCTCATACTGTTTTATTTTTTCTGGTGGAAGAAGAGGAAAGAAAAAGAAATACCATGTAAGTAAAACTTCACAAATAATTTTCAAAATATTGCTGGAAAAGTAATAACATGTAATTTCCGTTTAAGGTTGTGATTTATAGCATTGGGATGGTAATGGTTTGTAAAGTTAAATATTCGTGGGGTCGTCATCTGCGCATGCGCGACAGTATAAAAACGCAAAGGCTAATGGCTAGACGCTTGTTTGTAAACAACGACACGCTTTAATCTTTTCAATCTTATATTCGCAGCCAATCAACCAGTTGTAGAAGACGGGAGTTCAGAGGTCAGAAAGAGTACTGATAGTAATCTGGATGGTACTATATCGCCCAAAAGCGGACAGGCCAACCCTGCTTACGTGATAGAGAGTGACATTCCACTCGAAAAGAACGGAAAGCTACCGGCGATTAGAAGTCACACACCCGTAGGTGGAAGACCTAACACTGCGGATATTACTTACCACCGAAGTGAACATAAACATTCTCATCGACGCCATAAGAAGCACAAGAGAAAGAGGATCAGGCCAACAGAACCCAAGAGTCCTCGCTCATATGACAATGGGAAACCCCGTGTACTGGACCATTTTGTTGTAAACAGCGTAGATCAGGAAACTCTATTGGAAAAGTCTACGAAACTGGACGAGATAGTCCCCAAAACCACGTGTACGAGACGCCTTTGGATGCACAAGCTGAGACACACACTCCGAGCAGGGGACGCGAACGGTCGCGCAAGGAAGTTGAGGAGGACAATTTACGGCCTCGTTCGCCAACCCCAGAAAGTCACCGACCGAGAACTGGTGAACGAAGACATAGACACCGTAGATCAGTGGATGAAATCGACGACCGTGCAAGGGAGTCATCCGAGAGAAGAAATCGTCACCGCCGTCGCCGCCGCCACCACGATGAATCCGAAGATGAAACGAGAAAGTCCGGAGAACGCCGAAAGCGGCCGAAGTCCAGTCACCGTAGGAGTTCTTCGCCTGAAAATAGCGATATAGGTTTACGGAAACCTAAAAAAATGCCTCCCATTAATAGCGGAAAAGCAGAACTTGAAATGAAAGTACACAGAACAGAAGAGTCAGACATCGGTACAACTGAACACGACGACGACACGAAAGAAGTACGGAAATCACACAGCAAACCACGTCGACATCACAGATCACGTGAATCACATGAAAGACGGAGCAGTTCATCACGTGACCGACACAGGTCATCCATACAAGATAATTCATCTGACCATAATTCTTAAATTGCAGTTTCGAACATTTGTGTATTCTGGGGTTTTTTGAATACCGAACATGAAATTAGTTTGCAAAGTAACAGTGTACATGACGTCATTTGAATATCTCAGTTCGTGTACTTAAAATGCTTATACATTAGGAGCGCCATTTAATGTTATTGATATGTAGTGGCATTCTTCTTAAATTTATATACTTAATGTACACATCGTTTAATTTCAATATTTCGCATCGTCCCACTGTCTATGATTTTCGATCTTCGATATTCAGTCGCGCAAATGCAAATATGCATGTATGTACGCACAAACAAGTCCGTTGCGAGTCCTGGCTTCTGACAACAACCAGTACTAACTAAGGATCTAGCTCAAAACCGGAACGTTTCCGTCAGGGCAGGGGACTACATTAAAGTGGGAAAATCGAAAACCAACTACAATTAAGCAGTATTTTAATATTGTTTAGAAATAATCCAATATTTTTAAAAAGACGCTTTTTCTATACTTATACAGATTGTGCCAATAACATTTTGAAAACAATAATTTTTTTTTGTTTTTTTACCAAAAAAAAAAGAGAAAAGAATGATGTCTTTTGATCCACATGTGTATATATGAAACGGCGAGGTTTAGTCTCTAAAATACGTCTCTCTTTAAGTGACAGTGGCCAAACCTTCATACAAAATGCATTTGTATGTTTAAACAATTCACGAACACATGTATAATAAAATGTTTTACATTAATACGATAGACGTTGCACCGATTACGATAATGTTGAATGTTTTTATATTAGTATTTATTACAATAATTGGAACCAATATATGTATATAAGAAATGTGTTCTATTTTTGTAAACAGTTTCCAAATTAATATGGGGATGATAATTCTTAATTTCAAGTTTCCAGTGCAAGTTTTTCCAAAAAAAGTGAAAGTAAACAGTCGTATATAAATAATAGTTTTAACAACATAAATTATAGTGAAACGTAAATCGACATTTAAATAGGTCAGTGACATTTGAATTGTGGGAATGCGTCACCTATATGACGTCAACTCTAGGTCTTGGCAATTGAAACTCGAAAACAATATTTAGGTGACCCCGAGCGGTCTCAAATCATTCTTGCATTTGAAACTCTAAATAATATTAATAGATAAATAACCAGACTCGAATTCGCGGAGAACGCGCTTAAGTGCTGATGACTTTTTTGTACAAGAAAGTAAATTAACACAAACGAAATCCAGTGAAAACAATGTCTCCTAAATTCGGGTTTCATCGGGGTTATTTAGCTAGCTCGAACTTTTCAATACTAATTGGGCGAACATCCAGTGGTTTCATAATATCGAGTTAGACATATTAAAAGAGCGTAAACAGAATTAATCCCAATTGTCAAGTATCAACATTTACAACAAAATTACAAAAATCACGTTACCATGAAAACACTCATACTTTTTGACCATATCACTTACTTCATGTAAGTCACACATTGTACAATTTGCTATGTCGTCATAATCAAGTTATTCATGTATATTTCAATTATTTTATTTAAGTTTCAACATTATATAGTCATATTTTTACAACGTATTTGTAATTTGAATAAATATTCAAGTATAAAACTCAGTTTGTCTGTCCCCCCCCCCATATATTCGACTGGGAAGGTTTACTATAATAGTAACTACATTTGCAAATATTTATATATGAAGGATTTGTGCACATACTGAGATAGTGATAAGTATCCCAAGTCTACGTTTTCTGGAAATAGATTTGTTGTCAGATATGCTAGACCATTTACATCTGTATGGTGTCAGCTTAATGCTGAGTGAATCTGACGTCAGTGTACTCCTAACAGTCTATCAAATTTTACTAAAAAGGTTCAACTAACATACCCAACCATAGATACTTCAACAAAAGTCGTATAGGAAATTTACAAGTCTAAGAACACAAACAAAAATGAGTGACAACAATTGACAAAATAATCCACAAAAACAGACAAGTACACTAGAGTATAAGTCATATCCTTAAAATAGAGATGATATACATGATATGCATTAATGTTTAGTGACACTCGCCAAATATCATTTTAGTCATAATCAAGTGATTTCTGTATGAAACCTAGTTTCTACATCAGACATTGATGTCATCTGAGATAACATTTGTATTGCGTTAAGATACAAGCTTATTATGTCTGCCAATACAACTTGAATGTTAAAATGATCTTTCTCTACACAACCCTTGGTTTAATAGTTTTGACAAAAAAGTCAATGTCTCTTTAACAAGTCTATACAGGGTCTGGGACACAGAATGAGCTGGGAAATAAATTGGTATTGCTGCAAAGATGTGGAAATTAATGATATTAAAATCATCTATCTTGTATATAGTCTGTTGAAAGCTGACCTTCAAATTCAAAGCACGAATATAAGTATTAGTCAGAAGAAGGCGATTCAGTAGTCACATTCGTTTCAAGTTCATCTAAATATATCTTTGGGATATAATCACACAATTTAGGATTGTTGATGGAAAGTTCTTCGCTAATAAAATAAAAATAAAAATAATGTAATTAAATGATTTGTCTTTTCGCTCCTTTTGTGTTCAACTAATGTCGTATTTAACTAATTTGCATAGTATTCTAAACAAATAGTATGCAAATGATGGTATCCGGGATTAACGACCTGTTGTACATTTGCGTTTATTGATATATTTTATCTGGCTGCATTTATTGTGTTTAGTGAAACAATCTTGAGGGCGCTATGTCATGTAATACCTCAATCATCGAGGTAGCCCTTCATGTATCTGAGTATGCACTACACTTTGTGTGATATATGTGAACCTATATAATAGAGCTATTGCATAATTAAATCCATAAGTCTGTCATCCCTTTAGGATTGTCAAAGCGCCGTAGACGTCTCACCGCGTCGTGTTGAATACGGGTCCCATGACATCAACTACTCAAATACGTTGTTTATTCACACGGAATTCGAACGCGTGCTTAAATTTGTCATATGTTGATGATTTGTATTTCTACCATGTCATACATTTAGTTAATTGTTTAATTAATTCGAACATGACCTCTGCGCCGTACCAATACTGACAAGAATCAGCAGAACTTCATTATTTATCTGAACAGGCAGTGTTTAGAAAAGTTTGTTCACTACTGCAAATGACGCTACTATACTGATTGGCAACTCAGCTGTAGTGGAATGTGCAATCAGCGATAAAGAAGGCACTGTCATTTGGTCAAAGGACGGAGTTGACATTAGCAGCGACATCACGATCACCAATGCCGTGGCCACTTTTACTTTCAAAATTTTGTCCGACGCGAAATTGCCACGTGATGACTAATCTGTTCTGCGGTGTATTCATCGTATTCAACCCGGGAGTTGAACACTTCCAAGTAGGCAGGGTCGTGCGTGCGTCATGGTAGAATAGGTCAGATCAAAAGCTACTTTCTCATTGTTCATATGCTTACGTTTCATACCACGCATTAACATAGTTACCCAGTCGAAAAACAACTTGAAGGTGGTAACTATAGAGTTCGCGGCTGAATAGACCAGTCGTGGATATCTCGTTAACGCCAGATATTTTACTGATTCGTTCGTGAATGCATTTATCATTCTATCTTATAAAATAATAGCGGCTGGACCTCTCTGTACAAGTTGGCCAGACAAACGTAATTCAGGATCATGGCGTATGCTTAATACACATCATTGGAAACCAGTCCATGAGGAATAGCTCATAGAAATCTAATATAAATTAGGCAGACCTTCACTGTTTTTTATCATTCGTGAGTTCATTCGCTATAACGTTTTATCAATGAAGTGATGTTTTAGATACCAATTAATTTACACTAGATACTCCGTTGTATTTGTCCAGTGCCTCTGTTAAATAGTTTGGTTGGGGATTGGTCACAGGAATTTCAATGACTCTAAACAAATACCGGAATATTCACCTACATTAGAAGTGAAAAATCCGTGACACAACTGAGCGACAGGCGCTGCATTAAACCGTGTCACGGTGAATGACATTCAATGCAACACAACCCATATATATGCCTGTACAATAATGAGAGGTTTGTCCTCAATACGCATTGTATTCAACTTGTACCATAGAGCACAACACGGTTGTCGTTAGCAACCGATGACAAACACATGCTAATGCATCAAATATTCCAATTGGTTTCATATACTAATTATCCACACTTTACCTGACGGTGAACCAATCAGCAAGATTCTTTCAAACGGAAATGCATTTTTCTTAAACATGGCGATGGACGCCTTAGCGCACGCGCATCTTGTACTTATTAGAACCATGAATCACTTTCTATATCGCAATATAAGCGAATCTGTCATCATGACCCACCTTTAACGGATACCTAGGCGTTAGCAATAATTCCTGCCAATTCTTGTCTTGATGACGGTATCAGGTGTGATATATAGGACAGCGGTTTTGCAGAATCGACCCACGATATAACTTGTTTATATATTAATGTGAGTAGGTAATATTTACTTTTACTCTGACGTACGCACGTGCCAAATTCAAATACACGACAGCAACTTCATTCCGTCAACTCACGATATTGTTCAGGTATATATTATTATTATGTTTCCCTAAGCCCAATACTCATATCGCAATCGACGATGCATTACTTGTCGAGGCCGTATCACAATTTCCTCGACACTATGTCATCATTTTATGACAATTGAAATGATCTCGATAGATGTCTAATAACTCAATTATTTTCAAATACTGCAGCCTGATTACGTATACGAATCAAATGTAAAATACAAATTTTGGGGAGTTAAGGGGTCTTACTATGAATTAAGTAGTACTTTCGGCTGCGTTTGTAAACAGAGTAGTATATGGTTACGGTGTAGATATAGAAAACAATTCAATCGTGGCCGTCGTTTAGAGCTAAATATATGCCTTTGACCATGACTATAATAACAGTTCGAGCGTCAATTCACGCATTCATTCAATGTCAAGAATAGAGCGCTTGTTTATGAAAAAAAATGGATGACCTTGTTTTACTGCCAATGAGAAAATCGACAAAGACCGTACTTGAAAACACAACTGAGCAGGTGAACGTAAAGAAACACGGCAGAACAGAAACAGATTCGGTACACCACGGCGATATATTCACAGTTCTCGATGTTTTGAACGAGAACTTTTTACACGGCTTAGCGTGAATACTTTACACAGTGAGTGTGAATTGTTTTATCACGATTCCCATAGTAACAATAACACACAAGCGTTGTCTTTAAAGTATATTAATATTCTTATGTAAAAATATCAATATTATTATTAACACTAATTTCTATATCAATGTTCTTGGACATATTACTGACAAGGCCATTTTCAAAATTAAAATTTAACAACAAAAACGTAGTCACGTTATATGATATGAATAATGTTGGTTTAATTGATTATTTTACCTAATTTTAGACGCCAATATATCATCGATATAATGAACGTAATCTCGAGGGTCTCCACATTCTAACGTTAGCCCATTATACTCGGGCAACAACAGCATATGAGATAGCACGCCATCAATACAACTATAAAGAGAGTATAGATTTTTATTTTCTTTGTATTTACGGCGTTGGTTGCACGTATACAACATGTGTAGGTCAACGAGTAAGCGAAGTTATTAATATTGGTGCAACAATGTCTCCGGCTTCAGGGTATGAGACCAAAAAGAAAGAATAAGGAAAATCACATACATTGAGTTGGAGAGTTGATCTGAATTCATATTTTGAATCGACTGGGTTTGTTATATAAAAGTTTCCAATAAAAATGTGGATGAAACATAAAACATGCAAAATAGAATATGAAACAATACATTATAACAATATATTATGATGAAAAAAATCTCAAAAAGACAAACATGTAAGATTTTCGACTTGTTTTTCGAAAATTTTTATATGGATTAATGTTATTGAAGGCATGCCACAATAACAATTAATTATTTTGTTTCGAGCTTCATTAAAGTCACCTTGGTTACAGCGAATATAGAATACACTATATATGCAATCATATAATAAAATTATTTTAAAAATAATAGCTAACTGTTTACAAAACTTCCACGCTAGGATTATTGCTTTTGGAAAACTGCTGTAAATACAAAAGGTCAAAATAACGCCAGAAGAGTTATTTACGTTGACCCAAGTCGCGTGACGTTGCAGACATAGTTCAAACACTGTAATAATGCATTGTTACACAAGCCATGGGACATAGTAACAACTTACACAGCGAACAATAGGAACAATGGTCAGAGTTATAGGACGGCATTGGTAGCGATAGAATAACAAGTCGCAATGTTATTGGGAGAAGAATAGGTTCAGTTCGTAACTCGACGCGAATAACGTATATTGCCTTGGATTTATTGTACATAATATTGATTGGTTAATTTATCGCACGATTCAGGGGCGCATGATTACGTGACACCATAATAGGACATGTTGTTGCGCCGTTTACTTCAGAAATAAGATAAATAGACCATGTTCTGCCTTCCACTGTTCAAATTTAGTTGAGTCTTCGATGTGAGCAGTATTGGGAAAATTCATGCTATATTAATGAAGCATTGCCACGAGTTGTTTACATTAGTTGAAGAGAATAATTCAGACCCAGGCTTTAATTATCGAAGTAAGAACTTGTAATATCGACGTTTGTCTGATTTATATCGCTGATTCGTCTTTCAGGAACCATAGCCAGGTATGGCTTGTAGAGTTAGCTCGTGGTTGCTCATACTATGTGTATGTTCCTCTGTAGTGACGTTAGGTAAGTAACCGCGCTTACTACCCTCAATAATAATCCCTCCTTACCCTGTTATACGAATACACCAATCGGTCCCACAGAAATTTATATTAAATTCATTACTTCAATAGAGTTTGTGAACTCTATTCTTGGTGACGGCCTTAAAATGTCGTTTTAATCGTAAGCCAGTCGTAAGCACTGTGTTCTGCAAAAACCGATGACACGGATTCTGATTACCAATCCATCGACGTCGTCCACGGCCAAATGTAGTCTTATGTTTTTGTGCAAACCATTCTCACCAACAGCTTAGTTTCACCTTTCCGTAAACAGTTGGATAGCAACAGTTACTAGCACTGAGCCAGACGCCATTTTAATGATTGTTATTTTCCATACAGTATTTGGCGCACAGCATTTAACTGTCATGCCAACCGATCAGACTGCTGTCGTTGGTGATACTATAACATTTCACTGTACGGTCGCTGAGAAAAAAGGATTTGTCACGTGGTTACAGGGGGGAAGCCCTCTGAATTTTGACACCATGATGAGCACAGGTAATACAGACTATACCATTGTGTACAGTACTACCGCTGAGGGCGAAGCGTATGATTTACAGATAACTAATGTTGGACACGATGACGCAAATACATACGAGTGTACGGTAACACAGGGAGGTGGAGACGGTGGTGCCATGTCTGGGCAGGTGGTTCTCACTGTTATAGGTATGTCTATGTCAGTTGATTGTTGTTTTTCTCCAAACATGCAATTAAGTCTGCATCAATATATTATGCATAGTGATCCCTCCTTGTAAGAGCATATGCCAATAAAACCATGTCATATACTTAATCAATTATTTAATTAGTTCAAGTCAATCCTAATTAATGATCTTGTCACAATGCGACCTCTGTGTCGTACATCTTCTAACAAGAACCAA